GGGGGGGGGGGGGGCTAATTGAGCTTCTTCCGTCAACACAACGGAAAACAATTTTAAAAATTCTCTAATTCTTCAGTTTTTTTTTCCTGCTGAAGTGAAGCCCCCCCTGGATCCACCCTTGGTGAGAACCGGCTATTGATTTTGTCCTTTGATTCTAAAGTTCTACTTACATTTGTTATATTCCCTTATTTATAAATTCTGAAAAAATGTAAGCCGATTTTGCTATCAAGCTACGTCTGGACCGAGTTTTTCTTTGACGAGATTTTGATGCCGTTTAACGATATTGTGCGTCATCATAAAATCAATAAAACAATTTTAGAAGGCTGTCAAAACACTTGGCCCTACAGAACGAGAAAGCATATGACGTAAGACACATTTGATTCACCATGCAGGTCTTAACTGTATCAACAGTTATGTAAATTACGATGTTTTAATTAATGAACTGTCAAAATTCGCTACGATATCATGCAGATTCCACATGCAATGTCGTTGCTTCTTGATATCGGTAAAGTGGGTTACACTGACAAACCCAAGTCTTCCCATCAGCTTATTCGCTCCACATGAATCGTTTTCACATTACCCCTAACATAGTTAAAAGATTAAGTAGGGTTTACTAAATGACCACCCATTCCAAAAGCAGTCTTTTTTTTTTTTTTTCGTGCCAGATATAAAACCCCGCCCTAAATGTCACAAAACGCGTTCCTATCATAAAGCAAACTATAAAAGCTCCGTAACTATAGATTAGTTTTGCGTACTCGGAATCCCTGTGTCCCACAACACCTGGTCGGTGAATCACTAGCGAAAAAGAGCCTTGTGACTTATTACGGTAGGATTCTGCTCTCTTGGGAACCCTGTGGCTACTACCAGTGATCAGTATAGGTGTGATACTTCCGACTCCCCTTAGTTACCGTTGCTATGTCCAACAAGCTTAACAAATTATCTAGAATATTTCAGAATTTAAAACTCTGATCGCGGAAAATTGATTCGTATGAATTGTTTCAATAGTTTACTGTCCTGCGAAAAGAATAGAAAATTGCCTCGTAATCCTTGTAGTACTCTTTAAAATAAATACTGTGTAGTTGTTTGTGGGACACGATTTTATTTCCATTGGGAAAATTGCTGCAAATGTCATTGGTTCTCTATTTTCTGAGTTGGAACCATGAATTAGGAGGACGTTCTATGCATATGGTCTTCTATTGTTTATGTTGTTTTTATCTTCTGTTTAGGACGACAAGGACCTGGTACATGAGTTTGTAAATTCAGATGGACTCAACGCGCTCATCACGGTCGGTCAAGATGCCGATCAAAATTATCAAAATTATATTCTTAGAGGTACGTATTGCATTGTTGGTTAATGCTACAGGAAGCCCATTAATTATAAATTTTTAAGATAATTGATAGACCCCTTTCTTGTGACGTCAAAGCAGCTCAATTTGGAGAACAAAACAAAAGAATTGCAGTCTCCTGAGAATCGTTATGTCCTTCAAAATGTTTTGTTATATCCTCCTAATTGAGTTTCATTCCGACGTGCTGCTAGGCCGTCTATTTATATTCTTCGAGACGCAAGATGTTAATCGATACCACAGGTCGCCCACACAATCTAAATTATCAATAATTATCAAAACTGTGTTCCTGGAGAGATTTAGAGATAGTTAGTTGCTCGAAGTTGCTCATTTACGAAGTGTTATGTCTTTTACAAACACATTGACTGGGTTTCCTTTGGCAAGTATTATGCTTCTTCTATTTCTTGCACCAAGAGAGTCCTTTCTCCTCCAGTTGGCCCGGGGCTAGAAATATCTCAGAAACACTCCAATACTACTCCTTGATTTGATTTGACTTTCGGTCAGCGACCTTCAATTAGTTTCGTCTGTTGACACCCACGCAGTCACCCACGCAGGAATAATTGGGTTTGGTGGGCTCCACTCTGGAAACAAGCACTCCACTCGAGAACCTTTTTAACCAAGAAATTTTTTTTGTGCCATTCAAACTAACCTTTTTATATCCTGACTACGAAATGCGGAGGCCATTATTTGAAGACTACACCGCACGTACACCGAACATACTTCATTTAAGGTGTCTCATAGTGGACTGCTCCAAAAGTCATTCCAAAGCAAAAACCGTGTTATTCTGAGTATTCTTACATGAAGTTTAAACCTTGAATCAGCGTGCTCGTAAATGGTGGCAGCGGCGGGTATATTGAGTGAACCGTCATTCTTGTTTGTTGTTTTACCAGCTATTGGACAAATTATGCTGTATGTGGATGGAATGAATGGAGTTATCAATCACAATGAAACCATCCAATGGCTTTATTCTCTTACTGCGTCAAAGGTATGATAAAACATTGTTCTGCGTTGCACAATTGTTCTTTCCCCCTGCTTTTACTCGTAATTGGATCCAGCCTATGTTTAAGTTCCTAAAGAAGACCAAAAAGAGCGCAGGCTTAAGCTCCAAGAACTGTAACGCACCAGAAATTCAAAAATCGTATCGTAAAATGTCGTGACTAAAAATGTCACGCAACCAAATCGTATTCTTAGCGTGACAGCGCAAGCAGCTAATCGATCTTCCGCTAAGGTGCTTCTAAACCCAGCTGTTTTTGTTCATCTCATTCCTAGCGCGCTTCAACTTACAAAACCCCTTAAAACCCTTATTTCATACCATTCAATCATGCAACAGGCTTTTAACCAGAGCTCTGGCGACTACAACGAAGCGAGCACGAAACCAGAAGCGAGCTCTAGTTGTCTATTTAGCTTTGTTGTCATAACACATAACACTTGTGGCAAAGGGGTATTGTTAATCTTCGATATCCTATGATTTGTTGTGGTGGTGAACTTATTGTCACGGGAAACAGACGATTTAAATTAACTGTACAGGCGTTTTGTACGAGAATTGTGGATTTCAGTCTCCTAATCTTTGATTCTCTTCTTTTTCATCGTAGTTCCGCCTGGTGGCGAAAACTGCGCTCAAGTTACTCCTCGTCTTCATCGAGTACACTGAAAATAACTCTAGATTTTTGTACGAGGCTGTGCAAGTCGTTGATGATGCGCAAGGTAATGTCTGCAGAGTGTTCATTCATCATAATAATATTGGTGGTGTTGTGGTATGTGTGCGTGATGTATGGTTCTATCGCATGATTCTACTATGGATTGCTCAGGCTCTATCACGACATTTTTTCCACGAAGGATTATGAACCCTTTTTCAGTGATAACGAAGATGCCTTGCGATATCCCTGGAAGTTGTGAACGTACTTCTCTCTCTCTCTCTCTCTCTCTCTCTCTCTCTCTCTCTCTCTCTCTCTCTCTCTCTCTCTCTCTCTTATTTGACAGAACATGGTCCACTGTTTATTTTGGGATGGGAGGTTCTTATATAGTGCATTTTATTTTTTCAATAATTTGAAACCTCTCATCCTATCAACCTTATTTGTTATAACTATCGTTTTCGAAATCTGTTTTTAAATTTGAACCTATTTGGGCAACAGCTCCTCTTACCTCGAACGAATCTGATATTTTCATCGCCCTGAGAACTTTTTTTTTGACGTATTATTGTCATCTTAGACATCTACGTAATAGACCAAACGCGCGCAATGATAAAAGAATTGGCGCGCTTAAAAGACGTGCTGTTTACACCATCATATGATCAGCTATTTTCGACCAGACTGTGATTATATTGAGACCTATTGACGAACACAAAAGTTGTTTATCTTATCAAACAATGCTGAACGTTCGCCAAGGTGAAAACTACAGTCTTATGCATTCAAAACGTTGAAATTTTGCTCAGACATTGATTCAAATTTGTCTCTTCATTGAATAATGTTTTCTTCACGATACTGTTTCGATTCTTATAGAGCGTTTTCATATGACGTCACAGCGGCCATGTTGTTGGTGTACCAAAACAATCTATTTTCTATCCTCGCGGAATTGAACTCTATTTTTATGCAAAAACTGTGCAGAACGTTAAATAGAATAGAGGTATTGAGACGATCACATGACGTGAACCTTGACAAATTCTTCCTGTGTCGTGTCACGTGATCGTCTATAATTTTTCATTAACGAGACCAGATATAATTGAATAGAAGACCAGTTGGTGGTGTAATCTTCATTTTATTGTTCATTTCTTATAGGAGTAAGATGGTGGTCAGAGATCGTGGGAATTTTAGCCGAGAAGGAGTCGCTGGGCGACGAGGAGATTCTAACATATGCCATAACACTCATTAATAAAGTAAGTTTTTTTAGCGAACTTAAAACTGTGTGAGAAACGGTCATTTCGCGGAGTGAACCAAGAATGATTACACGAGAAGCAAATATTTGGCACAAACATCATGCGTTGTCTATCCTCGACTTTAACGAACTGACAGTATCATTTAGTTGAGCGTGCGCTTAAAGAATCACTGGCGCGTTATTTTGTCGCACGCCTGTTAGCAAAAGAAGGAGATATTTCTCTCGGCTTTCTTTGCAGCAGTTTGTCCCTGTTTGCTGGGCTATTTTATTCGATTACCAATGAATCATGATTGGAATTGTGTTTTTAGCCCTGTAAATGCGCGTATCTCGGATGTGTCCCGTCATTTTGCTTGAACAAATGCTTAGCGTGGGCTTCCTGTGCTTATACTTAGTCGAGGGAACCTTCGACCCTTACGGCAGCTCTTTCACTCTTTCCTGTACCTCCCTAACATGCGCTTGTTTGTTCCATGCAGGTGTTATATGCTACTCCAGATCAGGATACGTTCTATGACATTATAGATGCGCTTGAGGAGCAGGGGATGGCTGATGTCGTGAAGGTTAGTCTATCAATTCCTATTATTTACATGATTTACGTGAGGTAGGGTGGCCCTACTGCTAGGCTAACTAACCTCCACTGTTTTTTTGGTGCACATTATTTACATGATTTACGTGAGGTAGGGTGGCCCTACTGCTATGCTAACTAACCTCCACTGTTTTTTTGGTGCACATTATTTACATGATTTACGTGAGGTAGGGTGGCCCTACTGCTAGGCTAACTAACCTCCACTGTTTTCTTGGTGTACGTGTACCTGGTCAAGGGGGACAAAGTGAACTTTCCTTCGTGTAAAGTGGTCTTTATCCCAGTGTGACGTATTTGCTATTTTTTCCAGTCGCATCAGGACAGAAGGGGATCAAATATCGACTTTTTAGAACAGCTTAATGTATATGAGGTGAGTGCATAATGGGCGATAGAGAGTTAACCGACCAGTCGACTGAATAACTGTACTGACCGATGAACCGACTGACTGTGCAGATGACTCTTTAGTAAAAGACAACAGCGGTATTTATCGAATAAGAAAAGCCAGGACTATGAAATACCATTTGCTTTCCAGCGAAAACTTTCCGGTATTTCCGGGTAAATGGTAAGCACCCCTGATAACTTGTTTGTCCAAGTGTATTCTTGTACGTAGAATGCATTTTAGTCAAGGAATCGTATCCTCTCCTAATGCTAAGCGTTCTGCCATTTTAGCCATCTTCAGGGCTACATGAATTAACGTTATATAAAAAATAGTTGCAAATTGTTGGCTCGCGCAGTTGTAAGTCATTTCATGTAGCCCTGAAGATGGCCAATATGGACGAAAGCGTGGCAAGAAAATGAATTTCCAACGTAGTGGATACGAATCTTTCACTAATTTGTTTGCTTTTTGTATTGCTAAACCCCTTTCTGTATTCGATTAGATGGCAATTAAAATCGAAGATGGAGACGAGGATTTATCATCGTTTACTAGTTCACCGTCCATCAGGTATTTAAAAACGAATAAAAACGTTACATAGTTGTGTCGGTGCCCTTTAAAGATCATTGTGGATGGCTGCATTTCCCTTCTCACGCCCTGGAAAGTTTTAAAAAGACCCCTAAGGATTTCTACTGTTTTAATAATATTTACTTCTAACACACCATCATCGCAAGGTACCCCGGTGTCTTATTTTTCTCCCCCCTCCCCTCCCCCCTAGAATTTCTACTCATTTTTACCCTAATAGAGACCTAGCACTATCGCATGATGGCAGCCAAGACAGGAGGCACAACAACTGACGACTGTCAAAACTCCTGTCATGCGGGCTTAGCCTTACTTCTGAGGTCGGTAAACAAAAGCAGAAATTGAGATAACAAAACAAGCAACTCCTGGATTCGAGGTTCACGTACTCAGTAGAGTTTTAATAAAGAGTCGTCAATAGTCTCCTAGGAAACGATATTCTTTTTAGACTCAATTGTTTCTGCCTCCTGTCATGGCTGGAATCACATGATGGCGCAAAGCCTCTATACTATGCATGTTCAAATATGAAAATCAAAACAAATTCCCTTCTTTTGAAGGTCGAAATCATTTATTTTTCTTCATATGAGTCATTGTCTTAATCTCAAGGTAGAGATTTAGTGCATGACCTCCGCCGAATCGTGGGGGAGGGTGTACAGAAATACATACAATTCCCCATTCCCCTTCTAATGTGTATGTGATACGATACCCATTATGCACCACTAAAACCCCCATTCCTTGTTTGAGGTTTATGCACTTACGATAATAACCTGATATGATTTGCTTATGTTTTTATACTTAATCTTAGACAAAGACGGCGAACGACGACCACAGATCCGAGAGGAGGTAATTGATGGTAACAAGTATATTAAATGTTATTAAATATTAATTCTATTTTTATCTGGAGTGCTTGAATATAATATATTTGTTTGTGCAATGAGGCGTGCTTTTGCAGTATCGTATTATTATGAGGCTGTTTTTTTCACTTCGGCACCAATAAACTTTATTTAAATATTTTACAAGAATAATGATAATTTTTTTTTTAGAATGAGATTTTCAGCGGGGAAAAAATTAACGGTACGCACACACATGATATTACTATACTGTAAGGTATAACACTGAAATGGCTTCCCATCGTTTCAGTAGAGTTCACCCAATCACGTCACTGATGTGGTACGACTTAATGCCACTACCAATTGCCATATTTTGAACCGCACACAAAATGTTCTCTTAGGATAAGAATTACAGTGAAATTATCTGAAGAGGGAGTTAAGAAAGTGCAAACCCGCGAACTAAAAATACCTTTATTTATTGTGAACATAATGGGCCCTTAATTAATCATCAAAAGTATCGTGGACGCGAGGCTAACATAAAAGTACAAAAGAAATCGCACTTTTTCTTGATGGAGTTTGTGACATTTCTTTTGTATTTTCAAGTTAGCCTTGCATTCAAGATGATCTTGAGAAGGGTGCATTGACTGATAATCTACTACCATTTGCCATATTTTCTACCGCACACAAAATGTTCTCTTAGGATAGGAATTACAGTGAAATTATCTGAAGAGGGGTGAATAAAGTGGAAACCCGCGAACTAAAAATACCTGCATGCATAATGAACAGGATTGCCTGATGATCTTTATCTTAACTTTAATATCCACGCTAAAAAAATATTAAGCCGGAAACTCTCTTTACTGCAGTACATACATAGCTCCTTCGCCTCTACGCTTCGCACTCAGTCGGCATTTGAACTATAGCGCGTTATTGAGAGAGAACCAATACTTTATTTTACTGGTACTCACTTTTCAGGGATAGCACCGTTTTTATGCGGAATATTCTTGTGTTCTAGTGAAGTTCCGTGGAATTTCAAAGTTTTTGTATTGTTAAAGTTGTGCTTTACTTTACCGTTGGTGTTTGTGAATATTTAGACACTGATTCGAGGCTAAGCCTCAGTAAATGAGTGTAATCAAACTACACAGCGGTAATTTGGAACTCAAAAAAGATCTCTTGTAGAAGACAGTTTTGAATTTGGATCCCAGTGTAGCTCAAGATAATTTATTTTCATTCCAGGAGAACGAAGAAAGAGTCGCCGGCACAACTCTGTGAGTAAGCTGGACCTTATCTCTGGTCACAATGATTTTTCTGCTATCAGTCGAATCGGGTCTTTAGACAGTGGACTACTGCACAAGGTATCGAGTGCACCGGATGTGACGTCACGGTTCGGTGAGCGACCTCCTTCACCCGTCAGGTCCCTGGGAAGCTCGTCACCGTCGTCTTCTACTCAGGAGATGGATGAGATTGATGAGAAGGAAAGAAGTAGACAGGCGAGAAGGTGAGAAATGAATTTTCTTATTCTCAATATAGCCCTTGCAAGTGACGTTAGAGCAGCTCAATTTGGAGGACAAAACAAATGTAAAGTAAATGAATAGATGGCTGAATCTACGAAAGACAAGCGTATGCACATGTAAAAAAAATCATTTTGTCAAGTGGCAAAGTGCTCAGTCAGAATCAAGTTTCACCCCGCCTCTCTTCAATAGCCATCAGTTTATTTGTTTCATTTTTCGAATTGACATGCAGTGTAATATTATATTCTTCAGTGTTACAGTTTTACTGTATCAAGCGTATGAGGTGATATTAACGATGTTTGTTTTCCTGAACAGAGAGCGACGAGCAGCCAGACGTGCAGCATTGGGCATTGCCCCTGAAAGAGAAACAACATCAACCCCTACAGTAAACAACAACACCACTATCGAAAACAACAATAACAACTACAAATACCATGATGAGGGTAAAGGAGGTCACTTGGACATACCACGTAATGGAGGGGATATGACGTCATCTAGGACGTCACCGTCATCGTCACCAAAGGTTTCACCAAGGGCCTCGCCTAACGCCTCACCACAGTTCGCGCGGAGAAGAGACAGATTCAATCATGTAGAGGAGAAAGGTAAGATGTTGAAATGTTTATAATTTGCATATTGTTGAGTGAGCCTATACACCCTTTTAGCTTGGGCGTAATGTTTTCAAATTACAGACCACATGTCATTCCCTAGAGTATCATTTCTTTGTTTAACGGTTGTGCATGGGAACACATTAATATGGATACAACTCAAACAAATAATCTTATTCTTAAGAGAATGGTCTGAAATGGGTAAACATTGCACCACAATCAATGAATAATATTAGTTTAGCTTATTCTTTTCTCCTTGACCTGCTTAACATTTTCTGTTATCATATTTTGGTTTCCTCTGCCCACATCATGCTTTTTGTTCAATATCAAATTATCTTTCATATCGTTGATGTCGTGCTATTATATTATTTTTCCTCGTCGCAAATGAGCTCAACCCACGCTTAGGAAATGGATTCATGTTAACGAAGTATGCAATTATACCACTAATAACCCCCAACTCTGCGTAGATTAGAATTTCTTCGAGTCTGTGCACGCAAAAACTTCATCAAATATTGGTCTACTGGTTATATTTGTACTTCACACAAATAAATCACTGAAGAACAGAGGGGGGTAAAGTGAACACTACCAGCTACAAGGACTTTTTCTTTTTGCCTCTTTAGATATAAACAAATATCTTTCTATAATGTTCCGAAATAAAAATAATTTTCTATAACCATTAAATAGAGAGGCTTTTAGAAATTAATAGAAAAGCTGTTGAATGCCACCAACATATAAGTGGATTGTAGATCTATGTAAATATTTAGTATTTATTATTATTTATTACCATTGAATTACATTCTCTACCTTTATCCCCTAGAGATGTCTCATCCTGACCTTCTTCCCCTTATGTCATTTCATCTCTACCCCTCCCCCCAGATGTCCATACATAGTCCTATGCTTCCCATAATTCTCATCGGTCTTGCTCCTCGAAATATGACTAATGAGTGGCTCATAATATAATTATTCAAAGCCTCAGTCTGCCAATAGCAGCTAATACTAAACCAAAGCCATTCACTATGTATATGCAATACTAAGGCGATTTTCAACAAGGAATATTTAGTTCAGTATGGGAGCCAAGTTTGCTTCTGTGCTTCAAACAATCATTTCAGGTAAAACCTTGCCTCATTTACAAAGAATAGAGAGTCATTTTTTCGATTCAATTTCTCTAACGAACTCCAACAGTTATGAATTAACAATAATCAATGTCTATATCTGTGTAAATATATGTTTTCTATTATAAGTTAATTCTATTCAAATCAAGGTTATCCATGAGTTTATTTCTTCTTGTCTTTAAGCATTAGTAGTACGGATCGTTCACAAGGAAGCTAATAATGTTATTTGTTATTTCATACGTATTATAGTTAATTCTACAAAAATATTGCAATTAAACATTCATTACTGGACCAATGCAGTCGACGAAAACTAAATCTTTTGCACATTTGAAAACTTCAGTTCAGAAATCTCCTTTTTATTATCAATATTTTCGCGTTTTTGTATTGTAAATTTTGATCAGAGATGAAAATGATTTAGAAACTATAGACCATATCGTCATAATAAAGCAATCAGCTGATCGCGTGATTTCAATTCGAGCTCATTTTACGCCTTCACACGAACGAAAAAGTTGGTCGAAACTTTTTTTGCAGGATATTTTGAGTTTCTTCTTGTCACATTTTGTGTACTTATTTGCAGTTTTACATTCTTTTCTTTTTTGTTTATTTTCTTTTTAATTATATCCTGGTGATACTTACATTATTTTACAGCTTTTCATTCAATGTTCTTTATATTATAAATATCCAATATTTTATACTGCAACACTGGTCGTCTAGGAAACTAGACACGAAACAGCCAATCGGTTTTTAGAACGAGACAAAAGAGCAATTTGAACCAATCGTCATTGAGAATAGTTGAGACACGCGATATAGTCTCATTTCGTGATTTTATCCTAGAATACAAAATGATCAAAATATGCTGTTATTGAAACGAAATACAATGAATAATTAAGCATTGCTCTTACTTGATGGTTCTTAACTTCGCGTTATATTTTGTTGATTTTGACATTATATTTTTGGAATTTGTTTTGAAATCGCATTTGCTAATTTTCTAACTTTGCTACATAAATACATGTTACGTTAAGTATCTAGAATATTCCTGCCCATTTGTCGAAAAATGTTTACTGCATAACCTTGGTCAGTCAGGGATTTTTTTACAAACACCTAATTATTCGTTGTTTTTCTCTCAAATAAAATAATCTGGTCTTGGAATTGCTTTATTCTTGCGGTATATAGTGAATAATGCTATGTTGTATTGCTAGTGTTTTTGTTTTGCTTAATGTTACACAAAAAGTGGGGTTAGGTTGTGAGCAGAAGGAACCGTAATGTGATACCGTAGTTGAATCTGCAGTGAGCCCACGCACTTGTTTCTTTTGCCTTTTCTTCGTAGCTTGGGCTAATAATACCCTTAAAACAGCGCACTGATGGAAAGTGTGCGCGCAGCGTCGGCTTCCATTGATAGAAATACCGACGTTGGATATATTTGCTTTACCGTTTTTCTCATGTTACGCGGTGCAATTCGCGTTCAAACTTGCCTCACGGTGTACGTAAGTTTTTATCCGCACGTTTTCCCATTAATGTATATAACAAAACATTAATAATTATTATTATTATCAAACATTCGTTTATTCAAATGTTTCTCCTGTTACTTAGATTAATTGTAACCAGACTTGGAGACGCCAGGCGAAAAAACAAAATCTGAAATTAGTTTTGACTCACTTTTCACATGTATGGAAAAGAAATAACTATAGTAACGTTTGGACAATAATGCATAAAAAAATTGTTAATGCACACTTCGCTTTTAGATGTTGCTATCATGCTGCTAACGCTTGTCAAGGTCTCGTGAGTTCAACCATCACCTCAGGCACTCTCCACTTGTCAATGTCAATTTAAAGATTTGTTTGGTGTATTGTTGTATTTTTGACACACGTGTTTCTCTTGGTCTTGTTTAGTTTTTCTTTTAATTTACAATCCCAAATATCACCATATGATCGTTTATTAACATTTCTCGCTTCCCTGTGACTTGGTAGGTTTGATAGATAGCAAAAACGGCCAAAACGCAAAAAGAAAACAGGAAAAAATAATTTGGATGATATCGGTTATCACAAAATACCGTGATTTTCTGGTGTCTTTCTCGCCACTAGCAAATCGTGATATTTTAATTTACCTCGTACAATAATTGCTTTTTAACCATGACTCCTAATGTTAGTGTAGAGTGAAGAATCACTGGAGCACCAAAGGGGATTGCTGGGCTGGGCTTAATATAGCGAGAGTGACATACCTCGATGCGCGAACGCGCGCGTTTTGGCGCGAAAGTTCCGGCCCATAAAGCACATGAACCCCATCAGTCTTTGAAAGTACCATTTCATGGGTCAACCGTAGGCCCTGTCTTCAAGTCCCAGTCGAAGAACTTTCTGTTGTCCTGACTTAGAACAGAATAAAAATTTTCGAAACATTACGACTTTTGTTTAAGAAAATGAGAAGTAATAAATAACAAGTGAATAAATAATGGGATTTAACGGTGGCATTTCTGCAGAGTGGCTCTTCACATTAGTAGTTGATTTTTGAGGAGGGAGGGAAAACCGTTGAACCCGGAAAATCCTCGAGGCACAGGAGAGAACCAACAAACAACTCTACTCATATACAACACCGAACCCGACGGGACTTGAACCCGTGTCGCATTGGTGAGAGGCTAGCGCTCTCACAGCTATGCATATATAATATATATTTAAGTATATGAAATAATAGTTTATAAATATATATTACATAATGTATCCATAATACGTTAAAAAAATTTAACTTGGTTTTTTACTTTACTATAATAATTGGATATGAAAAAATAAGATATTTGGAAAAGAACTGAACTTGAAACTTGGGGAACGGTAAAAAGAATTCTGAAAGAAAGCAGCTCTTAGTCTTAACTTGGATGAACATTTTTATTTTGACAGACGAAACACCACAGAAAAAGGTCCCGAGAACTTGGGAAGAGCGTCGAAGAGCGAAAGAAGAAGCGAAGAAACATGAAAATCAAACAGACAAACACGACCCTGAAAACAAGACTTTTTCTCGAATGGGAACGCCAAGAGAAAACAACGCCACTGAAACAGGATCCATGAAAATCAACACAAGTAAATTACGGTCCGACAATTCGTCTTCAGAAGAAAGTATTAGTGCTAGAAATGCGGAAAACGAAGCTCATAAACGAGAAAAGCCTAGACAACGTCTTGTTGATAGTGCTAGAGATAGTAGTGCTAGTGAGAAAGAAGAACCAAAGTCACCCAGACGAACACCAATGCTGAACGAGATCGGAAGAATATCCAGTGTTACTGATAAAGGTGGTATTCGCTCGCCGCCTCTCGACCGGCGGGAAAGCTCCGAAAAGAGGTCTAGTATTTGTGAAGGTTTTAACAAGAAAATGATGTTATCTATGTTGTATCAGACATCGACTGATGATCTTTTTGCTAAGAAATCCGACTCATCATCGACTGGGGAATCGGTTCACGATCGACGTGCTCGGTTGATGAGCGGCGGAGATTCGGAAGTTAATAACAACGAGAATGCTGTAGGTACGGACTTGGCTACCAACTCCGTGCAAGATACGATCAAGAAGCTGGGCTCGTTGGAAGAAGAAGCAAAAGACTCGACAACACCTGAGGGGAACTTTGAAGGGTTGTTAAAACAAGCGAAGAAGAATCTCTTGAAGGAGGACCAAGAGCTCGAGGAAGAAGCAGCCCAGCTAGAAGCCCAGAGAATAGCAGAGGAGGAGAGAAGACGAAAAGAGGAGGAGGAAGAGATTGCCAGGCAAGCAGCTGAGGAGGCTGCACGGCTACAAGAACTGGAATGGGAGCGAATGATCACCTTAAAACGTTCACTTATCATCAATGACTTTGATTTTACGGATCTTTTAGACGAGGATGACGTGGATGTTTTTGAATCTAATGATCACCATGACGAAACAGACGCACCCCCACCCCTTTCGTATCTTGGAGGAATGGCCCCTCCACCACCACCCTTGGGAATGATGTGTCCACCACCTCCTCCCCCAGCCCCAGAGGGGATGCCCCCTCCCCCACCTCCAGGGGTTCCAGGACACTTGAACAAGTCAAACAAGAAAAAACTGGTTCGGTTGTTTTGGCAGGAAGTGAAGAACTCGCCGCTCATTAACGGAGTCAATAAAACGATATGGGGCAATATTGATAAGGTTGATATTGACACTAAGAAACTAGAACATTTGTTTGAGAATAAAACAAGCGCCAAGTTAAAGGTAAGTATCGAGTGCACGTATCGATAACCATCTTTCGATATTCTGATCGAGTGGTCCAACACAAAACATTTCGAATCGAAGCTCCGCGTAATTGTTGTTATTCATTTGTTTCCCCGGAGCTTCGACTCGGATTGTTTGACTACTCAACCAGAATATCGAAAGTTGGCTATAGGCCGTTCCGAGGTAGACTCTTCCACAGTCTCTCGCTCGTCCGTTCCGTCTCCACGCTTAGAGACTGTAACGGTACAATGACCGAAAGGACTTATGGGTTCCGAAGACTTGGACCCAGCGTGCTTTGGGAACCAAAATACTCGTCCACAGTCTCTCTCGTTTCAATATTTTCAAGATGGCGGCGAAAACGAGAGAGACTGTGGACGAGWATTT